ATATAGGGCACAAAATGTAAGTCGGCAACTTTATGTTTTTTTGGATTTTGTGTGTTTTTTATTGACTAATAATATGTTAGCCTGTCATAAAATATCAACAGAAAATACGGCGGGAAATGTAAGTCGGCTACAAATAATAGAGTAGTATAGTATTTGAAAAATATCAACCGACTACAAAAATACAAAAACATTCATGGACAACCGACTACGAAAACATTAATTGAAAGTATTACAAAGTCAACAAAAAACGCTAGTTCACCGTAGGCATTACTGTAGCGAAACCAGATATGAAGTGATCAAATGTGAAATCTCATGTGCAAAAATGAATAGTGATTTTGCCATCCTCTCTTTTAATAGAGTAGTGATAAAGCGAGGATCGAGCAAACTCGTAGTCAGCACTTAGGGATAGATCCAGCCATGCTTTGCTGTCTTTGCTGGACAAATTTACTTGGCACGCTTTTTAAGATATTGAAATTATTACAACTATTTTATCCCAAGAATTGTCCATCCCACAGTAATTTTTCTTCCGCAAAAGACAAGGTAGGTGCAACTAGTTTTCAATTAAAGATTTTGCTAATTCTACATAAATTACATGATATCTTGTGGAGGGAAGATATTAGATAAAAAGTTAATTTTATTTTAAATTGGTAAATAATAGAGTGTCACGTAACATTATGTAATCCATTATATAAATTTTGGGGGCTGTCTGGTGTAGCTTGTAATCAAAATTAGAGACGTTAGACCGCAAATCTTTTCTTTGGTGAGAGAGTGGGTCCCAATTTTTAAAAATTAACGGTCAAAAAAACCCAAATTTCCTTGATTTTAAGCTGTACCAGACAGCCCCTTGATATATATGTAGCAAGATCCTTCAATTAATTCATGACCAATCCATTCCAATTTTAGCAAGGTATTAAATCCACCTTTTTTACGAGTAATATTATTTAGTAGTATTTATGTTAAAATATCAATGAAGTAACATTAGTGTGACATTAAATGAGATGTACAATTAAATGAATCACTTAATATTATCTTTCATTGAGCCTATCACTTAGTGCTATCTAAATTGATGTTTTAGTACCAGTATAGAGTAGCATTTTTATTTACAGTATAGATCTTTTCCGATGGAGCATTAGGCCATGTAAATATGTTGGGGAAGCTAATAAACAAGGCCTCGAGATGACAAGAAGAAATCTTAGGAGATCGAATGCTTAAAAACGCTTCTTTTAATTCAAGCATCTGATTTAATTAACGCTAAAATTATAATATAAATGGAATAAACGTACTTCAATGAGCACTTAGGTTCTCAAGGTTTTCTTTTATTTATTCATAAATAGGTATTCAACTTTTAATTTTTGTAGCAAGTGAATCTTCAAAAATCTTCTAGCACAAAATCAAATTTGTTGTTTAAAAGGATAATCATATCAACTTTTTCGATTTAAAAAATAAAAAATAAAAAAAATTCTTTCTTTCGTTTTGCATTATGCTCTATCCGTCCTCATCAGCCTTCCAGGCTCCACCACATCAGCACGCCCCCATCATGGTCAGTATTGAGCCCAAATCTGTTGGTGAAGCCTATTTTTAGGTCGGAAAGGACCAATTCCCATGGGAAAGCAGTTGGAGAGTTGGTTGTTGAAACCTTAGTCGGTAAATTTTCAACGAAAAATAAAATCCGTGATATGATTTATTTTAACTAATTATTTATTTAATTTTTAAGTACAATCTAAACTGGAAAATAAAAAATTATAAGTAGAATACAGAGATTCATGGCAAATTTTGTGAATTTGTGATAGAGACCTTGTTCCCATCCCTATATATAATGACCATACAGTGCTAAAAAGGTGTAGCGGATGAACCCTGAAAACTTCGCCAACAATCCAAACCTATAGAGGATACGAAGAGAACCATCGGTCGAGCATTGCAAGACATTGTTTAGGCTTAAATTCAGGAGCTGTGTGACCTGCACCCTGCAATATACCAATGCACATTTACTTTTTTTTTTCCTGCCAATCACTGTGAGAAAGGGCATAGTAAATTTTTCTTGCCTTTACTGTTACAAATGTGAGATAAAAGTCATTCTTCTTGTATTTCTTTGTGTATCTACAGAATAAAATGTAAATGAGATTTTGAGATTACTTAACAAGATGCAATATATATGTGTGTGAACGGACGCGATAAAGAATTGGAAACTAACCCTGCAACTTGGCCGTTAACATTCCAAGGTCTCCACTCGTCATCTATGGTTAGATTGAGACTACGAATCCATTTTAACGTACCCATATAAGGTATCATCATGTCATGATCACCACTGGAAAGATAACACGAACAATTGAAAAAATATTAAATCAAACTTTACAAATTTGTAGATTCAGGTTCTTCGTTTAATACTTTTAGCATGACTTGTGAAACAACAACTATATCTTAGTTGATGGACTAGAATAAACTCAGGACAAATTAAGTCACTCTGTTTAATAAAAGAATGAATATCACTTACCTATATACCAAAGCTTCATATCCTTTCTTGCTGAGGATTTTATGATATTGAACAACGCTTTCTACATTCTGTTCGTAGGATAAGCTGTTATTGCATCTCGTCCAATCTGTTATTGTTCCCTGGTAATCAAAATCGAAGATTAAACATTATAAAGTGTAGTGGATTTCTAACATTTCTGTGTTTGAATTACCTTTTTAATATGAAGAGCTTCTTGGACGGTTGGATCATTTGCCCAATTATATGATGTCGCATAAGTTTGAGTCTGCACAAAAGAAATCACGTATTGAGAAATCTGTTAACTCTTGGAGAACATGCCATGAGATATATAAATAGAGCCTGAAATTACGCGGCACCGCAATCCGTCTATTTTGGATGGGAGGAGGAGTTGGTCAATGGAATCATCTTTGGCAAGTGTTCGATCCCATCCCACATCATCTGGTTTTGGAGCTAAACGTCTACAATTTGGTTCCAGAATCTGTCCTGCTTTTATATTTTTTATACTCTGCAATACTTGATCATTTCATGAGTGTTTATGCTACAATAAATTTCAAAGAAAATATAAAATATAATAAGTCGCAAATGTTACCTCGTGGATCGGTCTAAGATCATAAAGACATTGCAAATTTTTTGGATCAGGATTGTAATATTTCCCATCACAGCTAATTTTTGCAGACTAAAATTGTACAAAGTTACATGAACAAGGGAAATGTTTTAGCTATAAGAATAGACTCACTAATAAGTATTAGGTGCGATTAATTTTATCATCAAAATAATTGATTCAAGAATATTGCTACCTCAAAATACTCATCTGATATAAGTGCCATTCGGTGAGCATATGGAATTCGTTCATTGATATCAATGTTTGGATCCGTTAATCCATTCCCGATAATGTATCCCTATTTCAATTTCAAAAGCGGAGAGAGTAACTGTACTATATACAAACAATATTTGAAAATAAAAATGGAGTTATCATATAAATAGCGAATTAGTACTTGAAGAAATATTCGTGGCTGCAAGCCTGCTTCATTGCCTGCATTACCAGCAGCACTTACAACTTAATCAAGCATAGTAAATTGACAAGAAAAGTCAAATAAAATCAAGTTATTTATTTCTTATACACATACATACCTCGTGATATTTCCAAGGCAACCATGGGAACAATTTTGCCCCCATAAGAGTCACCCGCGACATATAAACGGTTTTTTATAAACATGGGATGATTCAACAACCACTGCATTTTTAGTATTTTGTTAGATCACTAACCCGAAAACACGTGTGGATGGTATAGCGACTATTTTTAAATCCTACATCACTAGTGAAAGGCCTAACTTCTGGGTTTAAGCGAGTTCTACCCAAGCAACTTTTTAATAGGGGAAGCGGAGAAGCCAAATAACTTAAATTCTATTGTCTTCAATATCTACTTACAAATATGACTTATGATTAAAAATATCAACTTACCTTTCTAAGAAACGTATAGTTGTCTTTTGTTGACTTGGTGTCTGAAGAAGAGTAACCTTTCGATGTGTTTGCATAGGAAAATCCAGTACCAACAGGCCAATCAATAAAAATAATGCTGGCAACCTGCAAATCATAAGACTAAATTACTTTAAGTGCCAAACTTAGAGAGCTATAGATGAGATACATACATGACTTTAATCATGGAGTGATAGATGCTTTTGACCTTGGTCCATGAATACGGATTTAGGTGAATAGATGGTAAGCTTCCATCAAAATCTGCATCGAAAGCTAATGGGCCTACACAAAAGCACACAAAACTGGCATGAGAATCATAAAAGTTATATTTCAAATATAGGTTAACTGGTTATTCTTTCACCCAAAAATATATGATGATCGACTATCGTCTAAACCAGTGTCAACCATAAATCACCATTAGAAACCACTAAATTAGCAAAGTCGTAACTGGTTGTCTCATCATTTGTAAATTATTGCAAAAAAAATTGAGTCGGAAATTTGGTGCGATCATTCCAACACAAAATGAACAAAGGACTAAACTACAGATATTCAAAAGTTGACTTCGACTGAAGAAGGGTGATTGAAGAATGGATGGATTCATTTGAGTGAAGAAGAACAGACTCAAAATAAACAAAGGCCAAACTGAACATTTCTAGAGTTTATAAGGTGCGAATCGCACGACCCATCATCATTTGCACCTCTCTCTCGTTTATGCACAGGGTATAATTCCCTGAATATGAATAAGTAGCATTTACTAAAAGAAAATATTAATACACACACATACATAGAGAGAGTACCGATTTCATAAACGAGGCCTGAGAGAGCAGAGCAACCAGGTCCGCCGGTGAGCCAAAGTAGAAGAGGGTCCTTTTCAGGATTCCTTTCGGACTCGATGAAATAGTAGAATAGCTGCACTTCTTCAGTTTCTCCCACATCAATATATCTAATCATCCAAAATTAAAATTATAAATATTTTTAAAGTTAAAAGGAAGTTGTCAAAGAATGAAAGAAACCCACCCAGTTTCGAGCTTGACAGGCAGAGTACCCGGATAACCCGGAAGAGTCTCTATATTGAACTGTGATGCTGCCTTGCTAAAGAGGAGCTGAAGAAGAAGAAGAAGAACAAGTGCATCAAACCATATCAAATTCATAATAATCACCCTAGAAATTGAACTGCAGAAATATACTGTGTTTTTCGAAAATGGCATAGAACTTGGATAAACTTGTTTGAAACTGATGAGAGTTGTGTTGGAATATTGGATTCTTTTATTTGTCCTTTACATATTTAAAGGAAAAATGAAATTGACGGTGAGTATTTATTTTCATATTACAAAGACACGTAAGTCCGTTATGCCAAACGGGCCGCAGTCTATCATCACCTTCTCCATCAGCCGTCTTGTCTTGACATCCTTTTCATTTGTAATGCTGTTCATCAGCCTTCTTGTCTTAACATACTTTTCATTTGTAATGCTGTTAAACATCATTTTTTTCAATTAGTCACTGTTTGGTGCACGCTTTGATGGTAAGAATGTATTTTTGATATTGATGTGACGTGGAATATGTGGTTGAAAAAGAATGAAATATTATTGATGTGATGGAAAATATTATTTTATTAAAAAATGTGTGATTGAAAATGAGTTGAAGAATTATAATGAAAAAAAATAATGTGATGTTTGATAGCATTTGTTTTTCTTGGAACTAAGAATTTATTTTTTATTTTCTAGCTTTTACCTTGTTTCATGAGTGGAATTTTTCATGGAAATCATTTTCCCACTTTCCCTCATACGTGTACTTTTTTCTTGCTTTTTGATGAATTTCCTTTTCCACCTTTCAGGTGAGTTTTGGTTTTTTTATTTTTTGGAAATTGAAAAAAATTCTGGACACAATTGTAAAAAAAATTATCACTTTTATTGGTAATTTCCATTCAAAACAAAGTCAAACGTGGTATTCGGTATGATAATTTTTTTAATTTTTTTTGCCAATTGGAACAAATTCTAGACCCAATGGTAAAAAAAATTATCAGTTTAATGGACAACTATCATAAAAAACAAAGTCAAACGGATACCAAATTTTCAACATTTTTCAGGTGAAAAATTATAACAATAAAGCACAATTAATTACAATTTCCAGTAAAACAAATTTTAAGCAATTCAATTTCCTATAATTCATTTTCTTTCCACCCAAATTCCACATTTGCAATCAAACGGACCCTTATGTTTCATTTATTACATTCTGGGGAAATTCCCATTATGTTTCATTTATTTGACCCTCGTTTGATATACATTCTTTCAAAATACATTTTTTCAAGACACATTTTCAACCGCACATTCTCTAATAAAATAATATTTTAGATCATGTCAATAACTTTTCTTTACTTTTAACAACATGTTTTTCCATATATCACAATTTAAAATACATTCTTTTATCAATAATTACCATCAACCACCGTAGAGAAATTCTAACCTTTTCGTTGTGGAGTTTTATAAAGCACACTAGAATTTGATGACACTTTAAAAAATGTAGAACTATTAGTCTTAATAATAGAAAAGTGACGTGGTGTCCCATTAGTAGGGGTGGACCCAGCACCCGGTGTGCCTCGGCGATCGCCCATGATGTATCCGTCGAGAAAATATTGCTTGTAGTGCAATGGGTTAGAGGTTGTACATACAAATTGGAGGTCCAGGGATTAGGGACGGCAATGGGCCGCTGAGTCGGCTCGGTCCGTATGCCCGCAAGCTCGGCTCGGCCCGTGAGCTTGTTAATTTTTTATTTTTGTTAAGATATACCTTTTTCCTAAAAAAATAAAATAAAAAAATAACATTTCACAAAGATGAGCCCACGAGATCGACTTGTGGGCGAGCTCGTTGGCTTGCCCTCGACTCGAGTTCTCATGGCTCATTTTTTCACGAGCTGAGCGGTCGAGTCGACGAGCCGCTGACCTCAATTGACACCACTACCAGGGATCAAATCCCTCTCAAACCAATTTATTACATAGTTTTTCTAGTTCTACAATTTTTAACAAAACTAATGTAATAGGTAGGAGATTTGAACCTATGACCTCCTTTAAGATTTTGAATACTTCACCATTATGGTGCTTGTTGAATTGTGAAACTAAATCTAACATAATAATATATATTTCGTTTTAGTGGTTTTAATGTAATTGTAAGGATACGAACCTATGCACTTCCTTTGATTTATAGGAAACATGACCACTATGTTATTAAGACTGATGGTGGATGATCAACGACCGTCCGTGCTCACTCAAAATTTGGATCTGCTACTACCCATTAAACATTATTTTTTAATATATTCGTTAATAATTAGAAAATGGAACCTTAGCCGACCAATGGAATTGTATTTGCTATTTATAAAAATATCTATTTTTAATAAATAAAATTACTTCTGAATTCATCTTATCTTTTAAGAATTCTTATTTTTCTTTGTTGACTAATAACTTCATGCTTGAATAAAAAATAAATTTTTTGGAGGAATATCACATAGCTATTTTAACATATTATTATCCATTACGAAAAAGAATTAGACACTATATTAGTTTATGCATCGTGACAAGAATTCTATATTTCTAGCACACAAAATCAGACTTAAAACGCCCAAATTCTAAAACCAATTTTGTATTGATTGAATTCTGTGATAATAAAGCTAGGCCTTTATTCGCAAAAATGGGAGTTGGATTCGTAGGTGCGTTGTTGCTAGTCGAATTGCAAATTCATCACCAAGAAATTAAGAAACCAAGAATAACAACTTGAGATTGCATATGATGTTTCTGATGGGACGTCTCAACTTTTATTTTTATGCAAATAAAAAATCAATTTTAAAGACTTTTTTTTCATGGTTCTTTTGGTTGATTTTGAAGACTTAATTTTCTTATTATTTTAAATTGCTATTGTTGACCCCAAAAAAGTACCAATGATGTGGCCAATTGATTCCAAGGCTTCTCACGTCCACGCAAGCTGGATTCCTGCATACTTAGACAAATCTTTAGTCACGCGTGGCCTTTTCCAGGAGGGGGGGAGTTGACCGCGCGCACTTCGACGGTTAAGTCAGTTGGAGAAGTAGTTCTGAGTGTGAGAGAGTTTTAAACGTGAGCCTCCAATGTAAAACGGGGGTCAGCTTTGGGCATTATTTTATTCACGTGAGATCCACGCGCAATGTGAAGATCGATCACCCGATGTGTCAACCATTTTCGAGTAAAGTGGTTTTACTCTTTAAAGTCTTTAAAATGGAAGTTGTTAAAGAATGAAAGAACCCACCCGGTTTCGAGTTTGACAGGCAGAGAACCCGAATAACCCGGAAGAGTCTCTATATTGAACTGTGACGCTGCCTTGCTAAAGAGTTGCTGAAGAAGAACAAGTGCATGAAACCATATCCAATTCATAATAATCAGCCCAGAAACTAAACTGCAGAATTATGTATTTTTACGGCGGTTTTCGAATATATGTGGCATAAAACTGGGATAAACTTGGTTGAAATTGATGATAGAGCATATAAGAAATGGGAGAAGCTGGAATGTTTGGACTCTTATTTCGTCAAAAAATGCAATTGACTTTTTTTTTTGCTAATTAATATTCATCTTAATTTATACATTTCAGTGTTATTAATTCTAATTATAAATTAGTTAGAATTTATAGTTCAAGAATGTATTTCATTATTCACGTCAATGTATATTAATTAACATTTAATTTAATTTAATTAAAAATTAAATAAATGATTTAAAATTCATTGTCACGTATATATTTTCTGATATTAATTCTAAATTAATTAATATTTACACATATTTAAATATTATTCTTACCTCACTTGTAAAGCAATTCATAATAACGTGCAATACACGTTCAACTTGACCGGTAAAATAAAAATAACCATACTGGTGCTCATATTTGAACAAGGGCGAAATGGTCTCTGCACAAAACAACAAATGAGTGATGGGACCCGTTGCTTTATTCTTTGTCATAGTTTGTCTATGAACAAACATATATTTGATTTATTGAAAAGAAGAATCCATTATGCGGGACCAGACAACTTGATTTCCCACCCATTTTGGTTTTAGTATTGCCATCCTCAATCGTTATTTTTTATAGCCTCATTGGTCTCTAATAGAGAGATTAGATCCATCTAGATAGGGTCAGAACATGAGGATTTGGGGCACGATTATATATTTTTTAACGAAAAAGAAGAAAATAATCATCTATTTATGAAAAAAATGACTTTTCATAATCTATCTATTAAGGATTCCGATGCGGCAAAACTAGAGAGGTTGAGGATGACAAACTAATAAGATAAGTTGGAAATCAAGTTACAACAAGATTTATAAAATGTATACTAAAGTTGCAATTTTCAATTGACATATTTAGTTTAGCCTCCATTTGAAAATAAAAATTATAAATAGATTGAAATTGATTTTGAATAAATTGCTAGTATTTACAGATTGATGGGAACATCTTATTAAAAATGAAGTCAGATAATTTATAAATATTCTATAAATTTAACAAAATGGAGTATAAAATAATTCAAAGAGAAAATTGTTGAAACATGTGACTTTAGATGGTACAGGAAGCAGAGAAAAGAAAGCACGGCATAGATGTATGGTCTTAATGTATGCAGATTTTGTGCCTGCATGTGGACAATAAGGCAATAGATCTGTGACGGGATTCAGCCATGAGTTTGAACACGAATTACAACACAAATGTACATGGGTTTATTTATAAAAATAAAAAATAAAAAACTAAGAACAAATGGATATTTGTAGGGGCGGATACGGGCTATAGTCCAATCGAGCCCGTGCCTATATACGCCCCTGATCATGTTAATACAAAGATGTTACTCATTCCTTTTATCAATCACTGTATTTCATTGCTGTAGTATGCTTCTATAAATTCTGCACCAACTCATGATAACCTGGTAATGTCTTAATAATGACAGTGCACTTTTTTTTTTTTTTAAATGCAATTCATTCATCATCAAAGTGAGAAGAAACGGATACAAGGAGGAAATTCCTCCAACACAATTCTCTCATCAGAGAGTTTAAGTGCTTCCTATATAAAAGCATAATCTACCACAATAGCCATCGTAGGTACAAAAATAACAGACAAAGAGTGGAAAAGCCAAACATGCTCAATTCCAACATCAACCAAAGCTACAACCTCTAAACCGGCAATAAAACAGCCCCCCCAACATCCTTCCTGTTCTGCGCAAACAACACGGGGAGCAGATCTGCCATAAGCTCAGCCATGCGATGAAAGTCGCCGGATGATTCCCAGCGAGAAAAACCCGATCGGACTTCCTGGGCTTGGACAAGACCCGTCGAAATCACATCCAGTATCTACCCCCTTTCATGAAGCCACGCTCTATCTTGTAGCTCCAAAACAACTCCACTAGCCGAAAACCCCCAATCCCAACCATATGCCACAAACTCTGTATCAACATAAAGCACCTATCCCAAACTTGAACCAATGTCAAACCAGCTACCAAACGTCGAATATATGGGGGCAAATCCTTCACCAAAATAGAACCTCTACTGACATGATGTCAAAGAGGAAAAGCTAGGTTTTCAAGAAAACCTAGAGAAAAACCTTACCTTTGCTTTCAAAGGAAGGACAGGGAAAAGAGAAGAAAAATAACAAGGAGAAAAATTAGGGCTGTCTGTGGGTCGGTTCGGTTCGATTCTGAAGAGACCCGAACTGACCCAAAACTTTCGGATATTTAATGAACCGTTCAGGTTCAGTTCCGTTCAGTTCGGTTCGGGTCGGTTCCGTACCATAATTAAATTTTTTAATATTTACAGCAACACTACATAAATACAACTAATGACATTTCATTCGTAACTTTTTCAAATTAACGTATCTCAATTCAAAAATATATAAATAACTAGCCGTCCAATAAGATTAGTTCAATGCATACAAATATAAAAAAGTAAATATTAATATTACAGCAACACTATATAAAGTATATTCATTTGCTTCAAATTAAAATGGGCTAATGGGTTTTAAAAATGATTTGGACTTTAAAATTAAAATTATGAAATAATCTGATTTATTTAATTAATTTGCTANAAATAAGCTGATTTATTTAATTAATTTGGTAATTTGTATAGAAAAAATAAAATAATTTAATTAATTCAATATAAAAAATAAAAAAACATATTTAGTTTTGATTTTTTTTCGGTTCTTCGGTTCTTGGTCTAGACCCGAGACCCGACCCAAACCCATCGGTTCTCGATTCGGGTACCCGTTCGGGTATTTAATTTATGAAGAATCGTTCGGTTCGGGTTCGGTTCGGTCCGGGACTTTTGGACACCCCTAAGAAAAATAACAAGAAGAAAAGAAACTGATAAAGTTAGCCGGACGAGCGGTACTTGCCGCCCGTCGGAAACGGATCGAACCTTCTTTTTGCCTGGAAGACGAGAGTGTTTTAGAGAGAGGGGAAGGTTTTCTTCGCTAAAGTCACAGAATTCAATGACAGTGCACTTCTGAAGAAACAAAAAACAAACAGACAAGTAAGGTCCCAAACTTCTATTGTCCAATATAATCAAGGGCGGGCCCAGGAAGGAAGTTTAGTGGGGGCGAAACCAAAAAATCTTGGAAAAAAATTTGAAAACCTAAAAAAATCTGGACAAAAAAACTAAAAGAATCTGAAATCTGAAGAAAAATCGGGAAATCTGAAAATTGAGTGGGGGCGACGGCCCCCACTAGGGCTCATGTAGGTCAGCCCCTGAATATAGTGTCACATGCTTATGTTCGAGTTACTCTTCAACTTTTATTTTGCTATCTAACCATACTTTCAAATTTCAATTAAAATTTAATGCATTGATAAATCAATTGTTAAGGACAACATTTCACATGATTAAGTATGTACACTATAATTAACCTATAGGAGTATAGGGCTTCATTCCACCACTCTTAAATTTGAAAAAATATGAACACATGAGCAGGGCTTATCCAATAAGTTGAGCGAGCTAGGACGGTCGTTGGCTGTTAATGATCGCAATAACGAGATTCTTTATTAATATTTAATTAAATAATATTAAAAAATTCTTCAATATAAACTAAAAGTCATATACAATGAAGATATAATTCAAAAATAACAAGAAAAAGAAACATTTTTTTTGAATCATATACGTATAATCAAGTTTCAAGTTTTAACGAATTTAAGCGAGATAAGATGAAACTTATACATAAAGCATGATTAAATATGCAAAGTTTTTAAAACAATCATTTTTAGAACTATTTTTGACCTAAAAAAAAAGTGTTTTTCGAGCTCTTAAAAAAATAAAGAACAGTAATTAGATTGTCTAAATTTAAATTTTACAAAATAAATTGATAAAATCTAACAATAAAAATATATATTATGCTCGTTATCATACTCAACCCGATCATTGATTGTACAAATAATTGGGTCGACGTTCAACCGCTACGTCATTGTAATGTTGAATTTTAGTTTTAAAAAAATAATTTTTAAAATAAATACTGCATTACTTTCATAAAACCGTATATATATTTTCTTGTGACATTCATTGTCATAATTCTTCAATTGCCTTAGCAGTCAAGCATTCCATTATCACATGCTGATTACATGTTCAAATCTCACCTGTTGCAAATGTGGTATAAAATTTTGCTTTGAGCAATCGAACCTATTGCAAATGTGATATAAAATTTTTCTTTGAGCAATTTGGTTGCTAAAAAATTAAAAGAAAGAGTGCAGGTTCTCAGAATCGAACCCTTATCTCTTTCATGCAAAATTAGCGCTATGCCATATTAGCTACACGATCTGTTATATAAAGTTTGTACATTTATAAATACCTAATGTCATTCTTCAAAGTTTCATAATCCACTTATTTCCGATGGAGTTAGCACGAGCGGCCATGTAGGGTGCTGGCTCTACTCCTTTACAATAGATCGAACACCATCGAGTGACTAACATCGTTGACAAATCTAGTTGGTTAGGGTTTTAAACTTATTTTGAGTTTTGTGCTTAAATCTAGTAACTTCAAGTCTAAGTGATAACTCTTTCACTTAGAGTGTGTTTGATTGATTTTATTTTCCATGAAAAATGTCATTTTTTTAATCAAAATTCATACTTTTGGGATGTTTAATTCACAATTTTTTTATTGAAAATATTTTTTAACTTTTGGTCATGTGACCATATTTTTTTCAAAAACAAGGAAAACATTTTATACATGGAGTGATGATTTTTATTTTCTAGGTAATTCAGTCTCTCTTATCCATCCCCTTTTTCATCTACCCACCAATAAAAAATAAACAAGTATAATATTTTCTAGGTTGAAAACTAAATCAATCAAACACATTTAATTAATAATTTCCATACAAATAAGTTCCAAACAATTGAATTGTCTAGTATTTATTTTCTTTCAATGCAAAT